ATCAGCCCAATTGTGGGGTCCAACAGTTGATAGGAAACAGAACTGTGTGTTTGTGTGTGTGTGTGTGGTGCTTGGAGAATAGCGTCCACAATTGACAACTTGAGGTGCAAGGTAAATCTGGGTTTGGTTGCTACCGCTGCAGCATCTGTGCAGCCGCATTTGAGGCAATGAAACTGGGGAATAAGACATACTCACTGGTGGCTCAGCTGGTAAAGAATCCGCCTGCAATGTGGGAGACCAGGGTTTGATCCCAGGGTCTGGAAGATGCCCTGGAGAAGGGAATGGCTCCCCACTCCAGTATTCCTGCCTGGAGAATTCCATGGACTGTATAGTCCATGGGGTCGCAAAGAGCCGGACACGACTGAGCGACTTTCACGTTCACATATATATGTAAGCATATATGTATCTTATAAGTATATATCTTTTCAGCCAAAGATAAGTAAAAAGATGTACTGTTATCCCGAATTTCTTTATGCTTTGGGATATATATATACATATACATATATATGTATATATATATGTATCCAGGCAAGAGTACTGGAGTGGGGTGCCATTGCCTTCTCCAATATATGTATACACACACATAAATCCAGGGCCATTTTACTAATTTTGCAGTTCCATTTACTAGTAAAAAAAACAAAGAGGAATTTGACTCCAATTATTCAAAATGGAAAAGAGCAAATGTGTATGTTTTGCTGAATGTTTTACTTTCGTTTTAGGTTTGAAGGATTGTTAACAAAAGAAACCACTCGTTACACACAAATAATTTCAATTTTTTATGGACGATTATTTGACTTAATTTCATGATATAGTTACTAAAAGAAAGGAAATAGAAACAATAGAGAGAAGTGACAGCGTATACTCACCAGGTTGGGTCAGCCACCTACATCCAGACTTGAACAGAACTGGGAAGCCCCTCATATAAACAGCAATGTGGACTCCCAACTGGGAAAGGGTCTGACCCAGGAGGTGTGGCCACTACCCCCAACCCCACACCGACACCCCGGAAGAGACTTCAAATTGCGGCTTTGGGGGCTTCTGCTTATAATCCCAGATCGCAAATTGATATCATCATCAGTTTGTAAGCAAAAATGCAGCCTTGTTTCTCTTTAACTTTTACAAGGCTGTTTGTTTTCCTTCTGAGTGAGAACATTTTCTTAGGCCCAGAGGAGGATGGGGAAGGAGTTGCCTACACCCCCAGGGACCTAAGCGATTCCAAACCCACTGCTTTGTCGTCTAAAGTGCTGGTTGACTTGCTGGTGACAACTGGTGTGTTTGCAAGCCCTGTGGTCCAGGAGGATCAGGCAAGGTCAGCAGGTGGTCAGGGTCTTGTCCCCCTACTTCTGAAGCCTAAACAAGACTACCTCTGTTTTAATTTCCCTAACAGCATACATGGGAGGAGCGTTTTAACAAGATGAGGTAGACAGCAGTTCGCCGCAGCAGCTGGAATAGCCGGTCAACCAGAAGTCCAGCCTCTACCTCAACCCTCCAGCCCTTTCGGCACTCTCTTCAGAGTCTTTGGAGGAAGAAACTGATAGTGTTCTTCCTGCACTTTATCTGGGAGTGACTCTCAAATTTAGGCTTCCATAGAAGCTCTTGGGGGCTTGATAAAGTGATGGTTTCTGGACTGCATCCTAGAGATGTCAGATTCTGAGCTTGCCCAGCAGTCTGCATTTTAATTAAACGTGCTGTGTTTCTCTGTCGCTACCGCTCCAAAAATCACATTTTCAGAAAACATTGACCTACATAATGATGTCCAAGCAAATCTACATGAAACAAAACACTTTTCAAAGTCCGTTTTTCACTATCGTTTTCTGCTATCTGCTAATTACTTGTCTTCTCATGTTCTTTCTCCACTCTTTGTATGTATACATATGTGTGTATATATACGTATACATACATACATATATATAAAATTACTCAATATACTTTGCTTATATTGAAATTATTTTAAAAATGAGTTCTGTAGAATATATAAAATTAATGTATTATTTATCATTTTCTTTATAAAGGATATTTTTATTTCTCAAAGCTAATGTTGGACTAAAAAAAACACTCAGGTGACCAGATGGTCATTGATCATAAGAGCTCTTGATTCCGTATTGATAAAATTTCCATCACTTCTAAGGAGTCCTGCGTGTATCTTGGCTTCATTCTAACATGGACTGTGAAAAATTGGTTTCATTTCAGATTTAGCGTTTAAATGATTTACTTTCTTTTGTCGTTTTTAGAATACAGCTAATCTGAAATGGCTCATGGTTAAACAAAACACAGAGCTCTTCTTCTAAATGGATTCAGTCAGCCTTAATCCAATTAAAGACCTCTTTCTTTCCTTGACCCTTTGTCAATGTCTTTGCTTATTGCATTCAGAAATCAAGTTAGAAAATTTGCTCTAATATCTCTATCAATTTCTATCCTTTTTTATTTGTTCACAATACATGCTCATGTGCATGGACTTACGTAGAAACACACATATAATATATTCATGAGATGAATGAATTCACAAAGATAACATATGTAAGTTGGAAGTTACCTGCTATAATTACCATAGGACCTCTACTTTAAATCTCCTAGTTTATCTGCCACACTAGACATGGAATATGAAGGCAATTAGGTATTGGTTATGTCTACTAAAATGTTTCAGTTTATAATTCATAAGATAGAATTTTAAGATAGAGTTGACAAACACTATTTTAAATTGACTTTTAAGATAGAATTGACAAACACTATTTTAAGGGAGAAATTGCCTATTGTTCAATTTTTCTTTTATATATTTCCTTGGATTTATTTTCATGTGAAAGATTTATAGTTTTTTTTTTTCATCTGTTTGTTTTAACAAAATTTGTGTTCAGTCTTCCTTATCCAAAGAAAGCCAAGCAAAGCTAAACAAAACCCAAACCCCTTTTGATAGGGAAGGCAGAGAGCCTGAGTGAGAGGTTTAAGAAAGGGGCAAAAAGACGCATATTCTGTGGTTTAATGCTCTGGGCTGACAAAAGCGTGGTGTTGGAATGGTAATTGGATTTCTGAGCATTGCTTTTGAGAATAGACTGCTTAAATCATTGAAAAAGAAATCGTTGCAGAAAAGAAGCAGTGAAGAATTGCACAGGCTGTTTGAGTACTTACAAAATAAGAATAACATAAGGAACAATGAAGAACCGGTTTAGTGCTGTTGAAATTTGACATCTTTAAAAAGCTGATATTGTAGCTGTGGTTTTGATCTTTATTCCATTGTTGAATAAAGTTCCAGTGTATTTTGGACCAATGTCTTAAATAAGAACTGAAATAAATGAGCCCTTTTAAATGTTTTTAAGGGAAGAAAACCAACATTTTTCCTCCAAAGGCTACATTATACTTCTGCATGAAAAATAGATATAGACAGGTATACATCTATTTTTAGTTTGTTTCACATATTTACTGCTGAGGCAGTTGAATTGCTTTTCTTAACATGTTAGAAGACCCCTAGGTCCTGAACTTTCATGTAAATAGAGTAACAGGCACAGAGGAAACATTTCCAAATTATTTGGAGGTCGGGGCAGGTGTGAGGGAGAGATTAGATGATGGAAGTGGGGGGAAAATCTAGGTGTCAGCCTCTTAAAATCTCCAGTTAAATTTTGCATCAGCAATTTTAAATAAAATGTTGCATTTACTAGGCAAATAGAGTTTACTACTCTCTTTTCAACAATACCCATTATCATTGTATGGATGGCACGGATGTGGGCAAAACTCTTACCTTCAGATAACCTAAATGTGTTGGGAAGTGAAAGTCACTTAGTCATGTCCGACTCTTTGCAACCCCACAGACTATACAGTCCATGGAATTCTCCAGGCCAGAATACTGGAGTGGGTAGCCTTTCCCTTCTCCCAACCCAGGGATCGAATCCAGGTCTCCCAGTTTGCAAATGGATTCTCTAATATGAGCCACAAGGGAAGCCCAAGAATCCTGGACTTGGTCGCCTGTCCCTCCTCCAGCGGACCTTCCCCACCCACCTAGGAGTCAAACCCGGGTCTCCTGCATCGCAGGTGGATTCTTTACCAGCTGAGCTATCAGGGAAGCTGTGATCATTCCCACCCCAAATTTTAGCATTTTGCTCTAAAAGAGGAGGGAGGAAACAGCAAAAGGCAGAGCATGGATTTCTACAGAGAGTTTGCTAAACAAACTGTCCCATTTTTTTATGGAGATTATGCAACTTAGATTTTCACTTTCCCTTATTAGATTTACCACAGTAGGAACATTTGTTGAGTGCGTGCTCTGTGTTAGACAAGCTGCTAGTTACCTGAATTCTATATTTAGTGTGTTCTTCACAATAACCTTTTCTTGCTTTTACAGTGAGAAAATGGAAATGCAGCTAGTGATGAAAAATGTTCAGGGATGCCTGTAGCTTGGATTTCAATCCACTTCTGCCTGCCTCAAAAGCATTTTTTTCCCCTTTATCATGCTGTTGTATATTTTAAGCATTAGTTAAATTTGAAGACAGTTTTGTCTTTGGGGAATATTCACTGCTTTTTGGAGATCCTTTTTATTTCTATACTGTGTTGTTAAGTTCAAATGCAAATGTACTCTTCTTTTTGTTCAAAGTGAGGAAAGAAAGTCACTTACAAAGTGGTAATGTGCAGAGACTAGAAAAATGTTCTTATTCTCCACCTGAGACTCAGCTTAATAGAGACAGTAAGACCCACTGTGAGAAAACCAGTGTCAGTGGCTTACTCTAGTGTAAAATTTGAAATTATTTCATGAAAGGATTTTCAGGGAGGAAATTTTAGAAATTAGAAGCTTCATGTTTTATCTGTGAACTGTCATTCCAGGTCAGGGTTTAAGTGCCTAAATAACCAGTATTAGAGAGTTACTCATTTGAAGTGAAAATTCAAATACAATTTTTTCTTTCTCCTGAATAATACATTTGTGCTTTTTTATTTATTTTTTAAAGTTCTCAGGGTAATTCAGTTTCTGCCTGTGAAATAACATGTCGATCAGATGGATTTCTCTGACGTGTTCTTTCTAATTACGTGTTCTTACTGAATTACAAAGAGCTACAATGGATGCTACCCGAACAACTCGTCATCTGGAGGAAACTATTGAAAATTTTGAAAAGCAGAAAATAAAGGATATAAAGACTATATTTTCAGAATTTATCACTATGAAATGTTATTTCACGGCAAAGCTTTAGAGGTCTACACTGCTGCCTACCAAAATATACAAAAGATTGATGAAGAAGAAGATTTAGAGGTTTTCCGACATTCTCTGTATCCCCAAGATTATCCATCCCGTTTAGATATTGTAAGAGCAAATTCGAAGTCACCTCTTCAAAGATCATTGTCAGCTAAGTGTGTATCTGGAACAGGACAGGTATTGACCTGTCGACTAAGAAAGGATCAGCAAACAGAAGAAGATGATGAAGAGGATGAAGACTTAGATGTTACAGAAGAAGAAAATTAAATTTCTTAAGTAAACTTTGCATTTCCATTTTCATCTTAAATGACCTGGAATCCAGAATTACTAAAACTGAAAAACATAATACTGGCTTGATACGTTAAACCTCAAATGAAATCCTATTGGAAATGTAGAAATTATTAAAGGAAATTTATGCCAACCAAAAATGGAAGTTTTAAAAAATATTACCCATCAGTCATTTCAACATTTCTATCTAGCATCATACTATCTTTTTTATAGGTGCCATTGTTTTTTAAAAACAATGTATTTTGGAACTGTTTCAAATTAATGCACTAACCTAGTTGGTTGCAGTAGGTAAATAACAACAAAAAGAGATTTAACAATTCCACTTACTTCCTTCAGATTAAGACACCATGCTTTCAACACCAGAACAGGGTCCTAGATAGTCATTCTGATTAAATACAAATTTTATTCCATAAAGCATTCATCAAAAAGAAAAAAAAAAAAAGTTCTCAGGGTATAAAATCAAGATAACTTTGTAAAAATTATGTAAAATAGTGTAATTATATAAAGAGCTATTTATAAAATCATGCATCACAAGACACAAATGTATTTTTAAATAAAAATTATGAATAATAGTTTTGATTTTTTTAATACTGTGAGCATTATTTATTTTAAAATTTCCTTACTCGATAGATTCATACTATATAATAAGTAAACATATGTGAATTACTTACTAACTTTCAGATTATGGTGGGGAGGAAAACGTTCCTCTAGCGTGTTTCTTTTGTACCTGGGTTGATTTCACGTATTTCTCACTGAGATGGGACAGTGCCGGCCACAGCCTCACAGCGGCATGGAAGACAGTGTATCAGCTCCTGAGTCACTCCGCTGGGCTTCATGACGTGACATTTGCCTTCTCTGTGACGTTAGGCTGGTTAGTGCACCTCCTAGAGCATGAGCTTCTTTTCAGTAAAGTAGGACGTTAACCGGAGAAGGCACGGGCACCCCACTCCAGTGCCCTTGCCTGGAAAATCCCACGGACGGAGGAGCCTGGTGGGCTGCAGTCCGTGGGGTCGCTGAGAGTCAGACACGACTGAGCGAGTTCACTTTCACTTTTCACTTTCATGCACTGGAGAAGGAAACGGCAACCCACTCCAGTGTTCTTGCCTGGAGCATCCCAGGGACGGGGAGCCTGGTGGGCTGCCGTCTATGGGGTCGCACAGAGTCAGACACGGCTGAAGTGACTTAGCAGCAGCAGCAGGACATTAACATCCATCTCATAAAAATTGCAGCGAGAATTAAGCAACCGGTGTAGTTGTGTGGTGATGGCAGCTAGCATAGTTAGTAGTTAGCACTGTGTCCACAGTCTTCTCATATTTACAGGCAAGAGTACATTTATCGTCACAACAGCCTTGTAAGGTATGTCTGTGCAGGCCACTTCCACTTACACATGGGGATGGGCAGAGGGGGAGACTACACGGCACTGGAAGCCAGATGCCTTTACTCCACAGATCGGCGTACCACATACTTGATCAATTTAGTGTGCTGACTCCCATCACCTACAACACAGTAAATTTCTCTGAAAAATATGCCTATCTATCTATTTATGTATCTGCTATCTCTCCATCTGCCTGTGTAGTTGTGTTTGAATTTGTGTCTCCCAAAATAATATGTTACAATCCTAACCCCCAGGACCTTAGAATGTGACCTTATCTGGGGAACGGGTCACTGCAGATGTAATTGGTTACGGTGAGTTCTTACTGGAATAGAGTGAGTCCCTAACCCAACCTGACTTCTATCCTTATAAGAAGATGATGCGAACATACAAAAGAAAATGCCATGTGAAGACAGGTGCAGAGACAGAATCATGTAGCTCCAAACAAAGGAAGAGAAAGGATTTTAGGCCAACTTCAGAATCCAGAAAGAGACGAAGACTGCCCAGAGTTTCAGAGGGAAAACAGCTCTGCAGACTTGTTGATTTGGGCCTCCAGCCTACAGAACTGTGACAAAATAAACTTCTGATGCTAAGCCACCTAGCTTGTTAATTTGTGATCATCTTTATAGGACTTCTAGGAAACTAACGTGGGAAATATATAATATGTATATGATATGTATATAAAATTATATATATATATGATTGTAAGCAATGTGTGAGGTATGATAATCACTCCATACATGTTTATCCCTATCTTTTTATAGGTTAGTGGTATGGGAATCTGTTCTTAGAGCAATCTTGTAAGAAAACTTCTTCCTGTATATCATTTTCTAAAGTCAAAAACCTGCAAACCTTGAAATTCTTGGATACTCCATCAGGAGACAGATACATACGCCTGTAAACATAGGTGTTTCTTTTCTCTGCAGCCTAGTAGCAGATGCACCTAGAAATTGCCATTGATAATACCCACAGCACTTGAAACTTACAGCACTCAAGTGGGCATCTGTATGACTGTGCAGTATTTATTTTTATTTCATATGTGTGGTTTTTTTTTCTGCATTTCAATTGTAAAGTCAGAGACAGGGATTTTATTTTGTACTTTTTTTAAAAAAAAAAACATTAACACCTAAAACAGAATGATGTTTATGCATGGGGTATAATTTTTTTTCAATTTTTTTTTTCAAATTCAAGAACTATTTTTACAATCAGTGTTATTCACACGGAAGTTTGTGAGTGGGATCCACCATTGTTCACCTCCACGGTGTCTCTTATTCTCGCGGAAAACACTGCAGAAGGCATCCTAGCGCGGTGGGAGGGCTGCCATAGCAGACCACCACCGACCGTGGGGCTTAAAATGGAAACCTCCGCCTCGCAGGGCCGGGGGGATGGACCACACGGCCGAGCCGGCTCTCTGGGGGGCCTCTCTCCGTGGCTTGCAGACGGCCGTCTCCGCTTGTGTTCCGCATGCGCTTCCTCCGCACGGGTCTGGTCCCAGCTCCCTCTTCTTACTGCTCTAGGGACCAGGGTGCCCCTCCCTGTCCTCACCTCTTTAGAGACCTCATCCCCAAGTGCACTCACACTCTGAAGTCCTGGGCTTAGGGCTTTAACATCTGAATTTTGGAGAAATACAATTTGGCCCAAAATAGAAGGTATGAAATAACTCATGTCTGTATGGATTTTTAGCCAAGGACCTAACTAGCTTTTTAAAGCCCTGAGAAGTATTTGAATATAGAATCCATAATGCTAGTTAATATTTTACTTTAAAGGATTTAGTACTATGTAAACAAGCATCAGTGTTTAATAGTAATATAATTGTTTCTCAACCTGGTAATTTTCTTCAGGTAAGAAAAATAAGTATTTAACTTGAACGGTTTGCAATTTCATTTTTGTTGATATATATTTTGTTAAAATACCTGCTCAAACTAGCAATATATGTTTTGATTTTGTATAGTTTTCTCCTAATATTTCAAGTAATAATGTCTCTAGAAAGTAATGAATATTTGTTAATTTCACTAATATTCTGAAGATACTAATACAACTATTCTAAAAAATATAATATGACCTATTCACTTGCACCTATTGGTTTTAGATGGAATAAAAATGCATTAGGTTTTTAAAGGATATAATGTTTCAGTCTGAGAAACTTTGAAGAGTAAGGAAAATAGCTAGTGTGGAAAAAAAGAAGCTTTTACATTCTTTGATGTGTCAGATTCTGTGATTCTAGGAATCTGTGATTATTTCACTCCATACCAGAGCTTAGTAGCCAGCACAGATATTACAATTTATAGTTTTATGTAACTCAAATTTATTTCTCTGTGTGAGAAGAGATGTGATTCTCTTTTCTAAAAAAACATCTAGTATAGACATAACACTGTCACTGTTATTGGTAAAGATGTTACAAATCTTGGATGAAAATTTTTTCTCAAAGTGCAAACTTATGGTGCCGAATGTATTGACTCATTCAGGCTTGTCCTGAAAAGAACATTAAGTAATAATTTGTAGTTTACAGAATATTCACAGGAAATAAGGGAAAATCCCTTATTTGGAAGGGGCTTTTAATTTGACTCCAGGAACATACATTAATGTAATGAAATTAAGCATATGCTACAGTTACTTTATGGGTTTCCCAGGTGGCACAGTGGTAAAGAATCTGCCTGCCAATGCAGGAGCCACAGGAGATGCGGGTTCAATCCCTGGGTTGGGAAGATCCCCTGGAGAGGGCATGGCAATGCTAGCATTCTTGTCTGGAGGATCACATGGACAGAGGAGCCTCGTGGGCTATAGTAAATGTGGTCGCAAAGAGTTGGACACGACTAAAGCGACTTAGCGCTCAGGCACTGATTTCATGAAAGACAATTTTTCTATGAACCGGAATTGCGGAGGGGGGATGTTTCAAGTGCATTACATTTATTGNTGATGGGACCAGATGCCATGATCTTAGTTTTTTGAATGTTGAGTTTTAAGCCAAATTTTTCACTCTCCTCTTTCACTTTCATCAAGAGGCTCTTTAGTTGTCCTCCGCTTTCATCATCATAAGGGTGATGTCATCTGCATATCTGAGATTATTGATATTTCTCCTGGCAATCTTGATTCCAGCTTGTGCTTCATCCAGCCTGGCATTTCACATGATATACTCTGCATATAAGTTAAATAAGCAGAGTGACAATATACAACCTTGACAACTCCTTTTATGCATCCAGTATATAACAAATTGAGTCATGTGAGGTGCTTTACTTAGATTTTGTCATGTTTATCTGAAAATATCATAAATCCTACAGCTTCCTTTTCTCCAGGAATCAGATGTTCAAAGCAACCACTCCCATGCTCACCAGAGAGACTGAAGCCAGCCTGTCCTCCCTGAAGCTTGCTCACCCTTACTTACTTCTAGAACTGCCTTTTCTTTCACTCCTCAGACGAGGCATCACACTGTGTTTTAAGGTCAGGATCTTAAGGTCAGGATCTTAAGGTCAGGATCTCTCCTCCTCTTTCTAGCACAGTTTTCCCCAGATCACGCCCCTCCAGCTGTCTTTCTAACAGAGACTCAGGATTGGAAAGAGAGGATGTTCCTTCTCTGGAAGCATGGTGGATTAATAATCTCCTACCAGCACACTAATAGGAGTAATTTTTATTCCAGTTAGCTCCCATTCTTCTGACGAGTTCTCTCTACTATCCTGGTAGAGACGCTCTTAATTCATATGGTGTAGGGGGCCTGTCTAGAAGTTGCCAACTAGATTAGATCAAATGCTAATTTCAAGCCTAGGTGTGCAT